GTTGTAGTATAGTTGTTAAATGGGAGGACAATCCATGCTTATTGTTGATGTTCTATACTTATGAAAACAAGTAACATATTTCTCTAACCTTGTGATGTGTTTGGTTGTGAGCTTAAAAAAATGATTAATGGCTTAATTTGATATGTTGTGCTATTCACCATATTGTTAGACAATATATCCATGTTATTAGACAATATATGCTTAATTTGTCATTCATGCTTGTTGGAACAACCACACACACATACTTTGTTGCAATACATGTTCTTCCCCTCATTAATCATTCATTAAAGGTGTAGAAAAGTTATGTTTAGTGGTGACCTCTAAACCCCAAGATCTCTCTCTCTCTTTTCTATTCTCTCTATTGCATTATTGTTCATTTTAGTTTAATTTGTATCTACTTTAATTCAACCAACTAACTACTATTTTGATCACTCGATCTACTAATCCTAATTTTGATTCCTCAGCCTAGTGCGACCCTCAATCCATTGGGACGATCCCTACTCACCCTAACTATATTTTTAGTGAAAGGTAATAGTGCCAATTTCTAAATGTAAAACTTGGCCACGTTGCATAAACTTTTTGGATTTCACTAGGACCCACACCACATATTATTTAAAACAGAATATTTTTGTGTCTAATAATATCTGACTTTACAAGTGGCCCCTCAAAATCCCGCCATTCGTACAGGTTAAGAAACCGTTAGCATGCAAGACTATACTCTCTCCCTCTCTCCCTCCCTCCACCCACAAAGGGCATGATAAACCTCATCGACTTTGAATTTTAAAAGTATGCCAAATACATGCCCAACCAGAAAAAGGGCTGTAAAGAAGATCTGTTGCTATGTGGTACTAGAAGAAGGAAGTTCTGTTACTCAACTATCCGTCAAGAAGCCTTCGGCAGACTTTTTTCATACATGCAACTTTAATGGTCGGTGAGTCACGTGTCTCTTAAGATTTTAAGTCATTTGGTGGTGTAATATTAAATTCTTTGTCCCCACTTTTTTGTGCTTTTGTGGATTATTATAGCTCATGGCTTTCCATGCATGTGGAGGAGGCTCACAAAAATAAAAGTGCAATCAGGACCATAGTTTTTATTTGGTTAAAAAAAAAAAAAAACAAAACTATTTTCATAGAATATGAGCCTCCCATATGCTCCACAATCAAACCAACAATGAGATGTTCAATCTAATAACTAATTTTTCTCTAGCATGTATTATTTTGATTGAAAATTTCAATATTACCATGGTTGTGCCTTATTGTGTTTGCACTATATCGATGGTCCAAATTATTGGCACTCACACGAATAATGAAGTGGACTGTCAAATAGGGATGGACCCCTGTGAGGCTTAGTGGGGACACTCACCCCACTGGAATTTTAAATTTTTATAGTTTTATCTAAAAATTCTTAGGTAATTATATAAATGCCCACATAGCTTTATCCTTTGTCTCCACTGGAATTTTTAAATTATTTATTTTTACCTAGAAAATATTGAATAATTATATAAATGCCCCATAACTTTTTTCTTTGCCCCTATTGATTTTTTTTTATTATTATTATTTTTCTCTCACTCACGCCTCCACAACTATTTAAAATCGCCCCCCACTAAAACAAGTTTCTAGGTCCATCACTACCGTTAAATGTACATGTGAGTGATGTGGACCATCGAATACAATAACCGTACTATAAAAGACTAAGACTCATAAATATGTGGTGGTCTTAAGAATTTGTATGATTGTGATAGGGAGATTTTCTAAAATTAATTAATTTCATGCTTTGTTTTGAAAATACACAAATTGAATTGTTATAATGCTAACTCTTGTAGAGTTTCTGCCTGGCATATCATTCTACAATTTTCCAAATGTGCATATTACCTCGAAATTGAGGAAATTAAGAGATACCCTTCCTCAAAAAATTTATGTACAAAATTGGTGTGACAGATAATTAGTTTTAATCAATAATTTCCAAACGGAAGCTATAGTCCTCATGGCTTTTTTTTTTAGATCATTCTATACTTAACTAACAAAATCCCTATTTAAGTCATTTCACCTTCTATTCCACATTCCAATCGTGGCTTGGCTTGGATGGTTGGTTGATTTCCAACTCTCTAACATCTAGTTTAAGCCTCAAAAGAATATATGGTTCAGATAAAATATCAACCTTCCATTCAAAATCAATTTAAAAGACTTATTAGGAAAGGGAAAACCATAATGGTTGTTTGTCATTTTTTATCCATAGTTTTTGGCATCCTTTCCCACCAAGATCCAAAACTTGAACATCAACAAATTTATTTACCTTTTTTTCTTCTAAAATGTACCCGGAACATGGTTTCAACATATTGCATCACATTTACTCGCGTATTCTGTCATCGGCTAATTATATATTATCACATAAATAAAAATACAACTATTTTACCGAGTCATATCATTACGTGTCAGTGTCTAATTGGTGAGTAATATCATGTCATTAGGAATAGAATATTCTTGACGTATTGAAGTTTTTCTCCCCTTAAATACAACTGTTCTTTCAATTTCTATCTATGCAATCATCTACACGTGTGTGTGTGTGTGTGAGAGAGAGAGAGAGAGAGAGAGTTTTCATTCATGTGGTTTGTTTTGGGCCTGTTTTTCCCCAAAGTGTAAAATTCCAACCCCTTTTCCTAGTATTTGAACTTAAGTTGCTTGTCCATTGCATATGTGTTTTGGGATTTTCTGGCGCTAGATTATCAATGCCCCACTTTATGCTCAGAAAATTAAATCCCACTTTGAATTTTGAGTCCTCTCAAGATTTGCTAGCAAATTCTTTCGCATCTCAGTGAGTTGAATAGTAGAAGAGGCCTCACTATACAAACATTGATTGGAATTCTTCATAATACATGTGAAATCATTCAAAAGCATGTTACTAAAGCTTGATGGTTATAAATGTGGATACGTGTGGAGACAGATAAGGATAAGCATATTACTGGTTTTGATATTTTATCAATTTTGCATTATTTTTTGGCAAAATTTTCACCAAAATATAGAGTGATACACCAAAGCTAGGCCTGTTTGGTTCGTCGTTTTATTTTTGACGTTTTGTTTTAATCAGAAACATGTTTTGTTATAGAGTAATTTGAATAGTAATCAGAAATATGTTTGGTAACGTCTATTTATTGCAAGATTCTTTGAAGTAAAAAAATGTTGCAATTTTGAAAAATATAATTGTTATTTTAAAAATGTCATTTAAGAGCTTTTTAAATTTATATATGTATTACTGTTCATCGCTACAGTATCGATTGTCACCAAATTAGTGTTTCGATTTTTGGGCACTATTCACGAAACATTTCAATACTGTACAAAACAAAACATTTTTCACAAAACATATTTTTTTCATTGTTCATACCAAAAACAAAACACATGCCAAACATGTCTTATTATTGATTTTAAACTAATTAAGTTCATGCAAAGGAACATGTTTTTTTGCGAATGATGACATTTCAGAATTAATTTTATTCTTTTATTTCGAGATTAAAAAAATTAAATTTTTGACAATGATTGTAGATTTTTTTTTTTTTTGCCTGTGTAGATTCTTTATTTTCCAATAATTATATGGACAATACTTACCTAGACTGTTGATGTGGTTCAATCACAAATGCACACATATCATTTAATTACAAAATTAGAAAAGTAATAAATAAGAAAATTGAACCCCCGGCTTCCATTCATTTTTCTTTTCAACTTTTTTAATTAATAACTAAAAATCGTGTGTTAATATAAGATTGAACCATATCAACCGTTATTGGAGAGTACTACTCATGGATGAGTACGTAATTTATAGATATATGGGAGATCATGGGACATGGTAAATTTATTTTGCTTTGGTTGAATCAGTTTCGGGCTTTGGGTAATTGAGCCCAATACCAACCAATTAGCCCAACAATGTCAAACTGAGCTATTGTATTAAGTTGGTCTTACAAACTTTGGGCCAATTTCTAATGCTTTGCCTAAGCTTGAACAAAGATTTGTTATCAAAGTAAGCTTTGAGTTAGGAGCGTTCAGGCTGTTCTTGAATAATGGTTGTCACAAATTAGTAATAACACGTGAATCGACGAATTATAAGCAAAATTGAAATAAGATATGTTTTTTTGTAGCTATTTTTATTTCTATTTTCAAAATTAAGAAAAAAATAATTCAAAATTATGTAGCATCAACGTGAGATTTTGACAAAAAAATGAAAAAGTAAAAAACGTATTCAAATGTTTTTTCTATCGTTCCATTAAAAATGTGATGTCAAATTATTGATAAGCAAAATTATTAATTTATTCATTAATTATGCCAAGAATTTTGCTTACTCATATATACAAATACCAGTATATATGTTATACTTTATAAGTATAATAGTATATTATTATACAATTTAACTCTACCTTTTTATTTAAATTAAAATACCTTTTTTATTTCTTCTCTTCTTATTATACAATTTAATTCTACCTTTTTATTTAAATTAAAATACCTTTTTCACTTCTTCTATATTGAAAAAGGTAGTCGTTTATTTACTTTATAGATGCTAGAGTGGCATTTCCCATATCAGTTATAAATTTAACTCTAATCCATATCAGTTGTTTATTTAGTTGTTTTCTGAATAAAAACAATATTTTCCATATCAGTTATAAATTTAACTCTAATCCATAATACCTAAAATCTAAAATTAATGTCAGTATCTTCCATTACGGAAATGGCCCTCAAGTATATCACATTGCAAGCCCCCACCAGATATTGTAAATAACGTTTAAGGTAAATTACAATCTCCTTCCTTAATGTGTATCAATATCTGACATAGATTCTTTTTACATATCATAATCCTACATATCTTTTCTGTAATGATGGTCGTCCAACTTGGTAAGCAGTGTCTTACTTTACTTGTTATTTCAGGCATTACAAGGGGCAAAACTGACCTTTTATCCATTTTCTGTTGCTGACAAGATTTATTGTTATTTCAGGCATCACAGCAGACAGTAACCCTAGAACAGTGCAGAGACATGAGTTCCCTTGCAATCACCTACCATTGCAATCTTCTGACCAGGCCCAACCCCAATTTTCGAAATGCTAGAGTGGCATTTCCCAGCCCCTCTCTCTCTCTCTCCCTCAAACCGGGTTTTCAAGGTCCTGGAGTACCCGGTTTCCAAGGTTTGCCTCCAAATGCAAACCAAGCTCGTGACGGCAATTCCAAAGCGATTTGATCCGATCGCGAATGGGTCATCTGCCAATCCTGAACTCGAGTCTGATGAAGAGAAGTTTCCAAATGCTGAAGAGGTAGAGGTCGATGAAGATTCGGTGGATCCTCAAGTCGAGTCTGGTGAAGCTGAAGAGGAGGTTCCTAATGCTGAAGAGGAGGTTCCTAAAGTGGTCGATGAAGGGTTCTCGAAGGATGGTCTGTCTGGTCAGCAGGAAGAGGAGGTTCCTAAAGTGGTCGATGAAGGGTTACTTGTGCCTTTCAGCCTTTTTCTTGGTAGGTTTGCGTTGCTCGTCATCGGAGTTGTCGTCAATATGAATACGGAGAAGGTGGCCTGTGTCAAACCACTCCACGACCCTTTGTTTCACCAGCAAACAGAAAGCACACATATTTTATTCGAAAATTGCTATTTGCCTTGAACGAATTGATTAGATCGAAAGTAAATTCTGAAAGGATGGTCTGTCTGGTCAGCAGAACAGGTTCAGATCTAATTTCTTGAAAGTTCGATCTAATCAAAACCTTCAAGAAATTGGATCTGAACCACTCCCACCATCAAGAACCGGGTCCTGCTGACCAGACAGACCATTCTTCCAGAAGCTACTTTCGATCTAATCAAAACCTTCAAGGCAAATAGCAATTTCCGAATAAAATATGTGTGCCTTTCTTTTTGCTGGTGAAACAAAGGGTCGAGCCACCTTCTCCGTATTCATATTGACGACAACTCCGATGACGAGCTAACGCAGTCCTACCAAGAAAAAGGCTGAAAGGCACAAATATCCGTCCATTATCCTCTGCCGGGGTTTATTAAGAGAGGCAACGATGGCAAGCCCGTTGGATTGGGCAAACGCGCCCGATATCACAAAGGATTTGATTGCGACGAGTGCTATAACACGTTTCCGAATGCCACTGCTAAGCAGAGTCACATTTGCCCCCGTAAGGTTTCATTAGTTATAATATCTTGCATTACTAATTGTGTTGTGACATGAAATTCTAGTTTATGCATTTTTTTTTTTTTATTGCGAATCTATGGAGGTTTCCGGCCCCTGAATTGTTTGATTTAGACATTGGGGTTAGGAATTGCAGTTGTTTACATGAATTCCCTGATTAATCTTGTTGGTAGAACATATTTGTTATTTGGTTATTATATAGCATACAATAAGGGTAACGTTGTGGTGGACCGAAATTAAATGCATCTTGAATATTACTAGAACATTGGTGGCCTTCTAATATGCTACTAAAACTTCCTCATTCTAAATTGACTTCTAAGCATTCTTCTTTGGTTCTTATTCCTTGTAAAGCTATGATGATCTTACAAACTTGTTGAATCAATTCATTAAGAAAAATGAAAAGGAAAAGTAGTATAGGTAGAATATATAATTGTATATACACATTTGTATATCTTATAATTTGTGTATATATTATTGAAATTAGAGTTTGCACTACGTGATTTTTTTTCTATTAACGTGGGTTTGCACCAAGGGTCTACACTAAGCCCATATTTATTCAAGTTTAATTTATACATATATTGTAGTCTCTAACATGCCTCAAAGTCTGGTTTGAGCAACTGATTTTTTTTTTTTTTTTTTTTTTAAATTTGGAAAGAACTCAGTTGCATTTCTCTATGTTATTTGTCTCGGTGTCTTGCCATTTTGGTTGGGTTTTTGCCTCTGTTTCTTGCCCTTTTCTTGGTACTAGTATTATTTTTGTACTTACTAGGCTTAGGAATATTGGTGTAATAATGTTGAGGAGACATTTAGGCCTATGAAATGTAACAAGGGTCTGAGGATGAATGGGCAAGTTTGGGGACAGAAATGGCAAGATGTAGCACATAAGTACAAGGCATAACATGCTGGCTTTCCTTGTTTGTTGCCCTTTGCTTGGTGCTTATTATTAAGGTTCTCTGTTTTTCGGCCCTTTGCTTGGTGCTTATTATTAGTAGAGCTAGGCCACTCCTCCCTCTCCTGCCCTTTTATTACCTGAGAGTGAGATAAGAGCAGACAACGTTGATATTAGAAGACAATTATGAGATTGTCTTATCATCATCCTATCTGCATCCCACGCCTAGCTATTACCAATGCTAAATCTAAAACATTTTTATTTGGCCTTGCTTGTTATAACCCTACCGTCGTGTAGCAGCCTGCCTCAGGTATAGAAACCCGAAACTCTCCTTGCCTGCTCTACGACTACAAAAGGCCCCTTGTTTATTAGCAAGCCTTCCATTTGCATATTTTGAAGCTTTTGCATCTGGTTTTGAGGCTTCTTCAGTTCATTCGCGAAGGATTGATTGATGTCTGCCTTTAAATATAGTGAGAAAACTGGGAAATCTGAACATTAAATAAAACATGAAATAATTGAAAAAGCAGAAGCTCATATTAATCATTTCATAAAGCACAGGCCTGTTTTATGGGGTTTGCAGCTTCTCTGCAATTAACTCATTTTGAGTTATAATCTCGGAGTTTCTTATAGAGTTTAAATTAGAATTATAAAAATATCTATATTTCATGTATCTTGAACTACCTGTGTTGAATTTTCTTGTCTGATTTATATAATAGACTAAATTTAAACTGATCAACTCGTGAGCTTTTGTTTGTATATGCTTTGTATTTATTTTATATTGGTGTTCTGCATATTGTGCGCAAGAATAGATTCCCGAAACTCTCCTTGCCCACTCTACGACTACAAAAGGCCCCTTGTTTATTAGCAAGCCTTCCTTTTGCATATTTTGAAGCTTTTGCATCTGGTTTTGAGGCTTTTTCAGTTCATTCGCGAAGGATTGATAGATGTCTGCCTATAAATATAGTGAGAAAACTGGGAAATCTGAACATTAAAGAAAACATGAAATAATTGAAAAAGCAGAAGCTCATATTAATCATTTCATAAGCACAGGCCTGTTTTAAGGGGTTTACAGCTGCTCTGCAATTAACTCATTTTGAGTTATAATCTGAGTTTCTTAGAGGTTAAATTAGAATTATAAAAATATCTATATTTCATGTATCTTGAACCTCCCGTGTTGAATTTTCTTGTCTAATTTATATAATAGACTAAATTTAAACAGATAAACTCGTGAGCTTTTGTTTGTATATGCTTTATATTTATTTTATATTGGTGTTCTGCATATCCTCAAGGATAAAAACACACTTAGAAAACTAAGACAATAACAATGACTCTCGTGTGTCCTGTGTTATTGGAAATTGTCTAAAATTCTACTGAGATTACAATAGCTTTGCATTTGGTAATATCGAATTTGCGCTTTGGGAGTAGAATTGAAGGTCAAATCTGTAGCCACTATACATCGCTCTAAGTTGATGCTCGGGCTTTTTCATATGATTTGTCCAATTAAATATTAAATTACAATCCTCATATTCTACTGAGATTACAATAGCTTTGCATTTCGTAATAACGTATTTGCGCTTTGGGAGTAGAATTGAAAGTCATATCTATAGCCACTATACGTCGCTCTATGTTGATGCTCGGGCTTTTTCATATGATTTGTCCAATTAAATATTAAATTACAATCCTCATATTCTACTTTTGGGGCTGGTAAAAGATTCTTGATAATATATGCGAGTATGGCATAGTTTTGGATCATTTTCTTAATTTACTTGAGCTTCTAGAAATTTGTTTACTTCTAAAGTTCTTAAAATTTCAACTGAAACTAAAGTTTCAAACCTTTTACTATGAACTTAATAATTGTTCTGGAATCCAATTTATGGACACTCATACAATGAAACATTTTAAAATATTCAAACTCCTAACTTTACACACAATTAGATACTCAATGTATGAGAGTAGGATATCATAGTTCTTAAAAGATAGTGCTTGCAGTCACGGTTTTTTTCCAACCATGCATAAGGTTTCAAATCATTGTTTATTTAGCTTGGAATAGGCCTTCCAAATCATTCGCTAACATTCATATTCTTGAAAGGGTTTCTTGAAAAATTCTAACATTTTTATAAATATAGATGTATAATTTGGTGCATCATGAACTATGCCATCCATATTCTATTTTTAGAAGAAATTAGAAAACATATAAAGCAGCACTTCTGCCCTCGTAATTTTGTGATTAATAAGTTATGCTAACATCTCTATGTCTAATTTAATCTTACTTTTTTTTAATTTCTTCATCTTGCAGGTCTCATCTACTGAAGATACTTATGCAGGTATAACTAAGCGTTGTATTTTAATTATGTGTTCTTTGCTTTAATAGTTACTTAATTTAAGATTTGTATACTCTAGATTGGAACACCGAATGCATCTTAATTATTATATGTTATTTCTATTTAAATCCTAGGTTTTTTGTTGCTTTTTATATGCTATTTCTATTTATGTTCTAGCTTTTTGATTGCCATTTTTTTTTTTTTTTTAAACATAATCAACTAAAATTAATTAGGAAAGACCACATATACAGTTCTTCATAAATTATAGTGATAGGAAGAGAATTCATTATGGTTCCAATTACTTTTAGGTATGAAGACGACAATTACTTTTAGGTCTCAAATCACACACACACACACACATCACCCCCACCAATCATTGTTGGACATGTCATTTCCAAGCAATGTATTAATCCAGTCACAGTGTATGAGTGACCTAGCTCTACCAAGTCCATTGCAAATAAGATGCCCAGGGACATCATTAATTCATTGGATTGACTTAATTACTTTTATTAAAGTTTTCCTGTAAAGTAAGAAAAGATGCAAGGTGTAACAATTTAAAAAATGTAAGGTGAACTTGTGACTTCATTTTCCAGTGCTGTTCTTACATACCTTAGAAAGGAAAGGGGCAGCAAGAGATGAGAGGTGGTTGGCCCCAAAATACAAGTAATTAAAGTTGGATTTTTCAAAGTTGTCGGTGGAAAGCATTAGACAGTCTGTTCATTTAGCTGTCAGGCAGTAAAGTCATTAAGTCCCCACAGGAGTTTGGTTTCTCTTCTATAACACAAGTTCTAACTATCTTGTTTAATAACATTATAAATGATAATTTATATTTATATTACTCGTATTTACACCATATTCGTGTAGAAATAAGATGAAATTCACAGATGGCTCCACTACCAAAAATCAGTTGAAGAAGTTAATGAAACTGATGAGAGGCAGAGCCCACAGCTTTCTTCCCTGTTTTCCTTTTCTCTTTTTCCGTCGTTCATCTATTCCTTTCTTTTTCTCTCTAACTTCCGGCCAGACCAATCCCTCTTTCTCAAATTCTACGCTTCTCTGAGCCAAGTTATGAGGTCAATAGGACTTTGGTTGGCACATTTCATGGAAAATGGAGTCTGTAATCTTTAATTCTAGTTTTTTTTGTTGTTTTATAACTAAAACAGACATGGAGTATAGTTCAATTTTTTGTATTTTGAGCCCAGGTATGTTTTATTGATTAATTTTATATGGTCTGGATGGTTTGGATAGGTTTAGCTAGTCAAAGTCCCAAGTTTCTAAATATCAAGTAAAAATTCCTTATCTAATTAGGAAAAGTCTAATGGCCTTTTATATTTTTCTTTCAATTCAATATATTGATCAAGAACTTTCAAAGCCCCTTTAAACCAATTCTGTACTATTTATCCAGTTGTATACTATGGAAATAGTGTGTGAACAGATTTACCGTTACATTGTTCTGCTCTTTGCTTTAGAAACACTTCTTTTTTCTTGTGTAACGGAACCTATGCGAATGAGACTATTTCCTTACAGTTAAGCGCATGCGGACCCATTAGAACTTGTGAGGATGGTCTTACGTATGGGATTTTAACATTGAATGTAAATGATTTTTTATTTTTAGGGGTGTTTTGTTAATAAAATCACTGTAGCATAGCACTGTAGCACTTTTTTTACAAAATTGTCGTTCATTTTAGCTTTCCTTTTCTGGTTAAGAGGATTGATGAGTTCTAAATGTATTCTTTTTTATTGTTTCAGATTCAGTAGAGTGGGAGGATGAATACCTGACTATTAGGATGCAGTGACTTTCTTTATGTGGATACGATGAACTCCATACTTGCATTTATACGAGGATGAACTACACGAGTATAACTAATTTGTATAACTTTTATGCGCGGTAATTTTTTTTTTTGATTGGCGGATTTTTACTTGCATCTTTGATTGATGTTTACAGATTTACAGGAAATATTATTAAAGCTTCTTTTATTTTTCTGTGTTTGCTGTTGAGTTCATTTCAGGCCATGTTTAGTATGTGTGATATTATACTTCTCTCCCTATTTCGAAGGGGTTTGCTTTGAATAATTGTTTGTTAGCCTTCTCCCCTCAACTGCTTGTTTTGTTTGTTTGTTTATTTTATTATGAGAAATGATAGGTCTTCCGACTTTAATTGCCGACTCATTCCCCGAATACAACCTGGTTGGATCACGTTGGAACTTTTAAAACAAAATTTCGTAAACATCTCTTTCTTTTCGACTCATTCCCAATGACGTTATATTCGGAGAAAAAGTCAGCAGTTGAGGTCGAAGGACCTATCACTTCTCTTTTATTATTAGTATTATTATTTTGATAAGCAACTGCTTGTTTTTGAGCTTGCAGTTACAGAACAACTCATCTGTTGCTAAATATTCATTATTAGGAAATTTTGTAGTCAAAAACAGAACTTTGTACCTGTCACTAGATGTACTCTGACTTTTAAATTGAAATGACATTATTGTTGGTAACTTAGTAAATAAGAGAATTTTAAATAGTAATAATATATATATACTTTTTAACAGGTATATATATATATAAGTCAGTTTTATTTAGGAAAAAAAAAATAGGTATATTTATCAAAAGAAAGATTTATTGCCAAATGTTGAGGGGATGTCACGCCGGCCGCTATTGAATCTACAATTGGAATGGCATCCACGCCCTGCATTTTGGTTGAAATGATTTACTACAAAAATATTTTTTTATACTTCTTCCGTTTCATATTAATTATATATATTTTATTTTATAACATTTTAAAAAGACATATAATTAATGCATTATTCTTTTTTCAAATTATTAAATTGTTTTTAAAACTCTAAATAATAAACACCAATTTAATTAAAATATTAATTAATGCAAGTTGAAAGATTTTTAAGCATATACAATTAATGCAAGTTGAAAGAGTTTTAAAAAATTCGAAATATAATTTTGAAAATATTGCATTTAATTTGCTTGACTTCTTAAAATTAATAACAATTAATTTGTGACACTCTAAAATGAAAAAATAAAAAATGAAGGGTACAAAGCAAAATAAATAAATTTTAAAAAAAATGTTCAGACGCCACTAATATCATCCAAATTTAATTAATTACTTGACAAATTATGGAAAGGTCCACTACAACATCCTTACAGAAAAACGGATATTGGACAAACAGTAATTTGGGACCGTTTTGTGGGCCATACTCGCATATGGACGGTCCTCGCAATCCAAACAGATGATTGAAGAAGGGCTCAAAAGAAATTTTGTTTTGTGAACAACAAATATGGGCTAAACAATTAAGGGCTAATTCCATAAAATCCTCACTATTTTTTAATTTTGATCATAAATTTTCAATTTATTTCAGAAAATCCTCTACTTCCTAAAAAAAGTGATCAAATTACTCCAATATTCGCGTCCGATCTGTTAATCCAATTGTTAAATAATAAATTTAACCTAACTATTTAATGTTAAATTTAAAAAAAAAATTTAGAGAGGGGTGAGTTTCGGAGGGAAAATGGTAATTAAAGGGTATTTTTGTAATTATTATTATTATTATTATTTTAGTTTTAAATCTAACATTAAATAATAAAGTTCAATTTGTCATTGCACATATGTATTAATGGGTGAGACACGAATATTGGGACAATTTGATCACTTCTTAAAATGTAAGGGATTTTTTAAAACAGGTTGGGAATTTATTATCAAAATTTAAAAGTAACAGAAATTTTATAAAATTCGCACAACAATTAATTATGGACATGATAAGGATACAGTGGTAAAATCTTGAAATGTATAAAAACAAGTAATATTCTTAATTTATAAGTTCAAATATCCAACTGAGAGATTAAGCCGAATCATAAGCACCGAGATATTAAGCCGAATCATAAGCATTCCTATAATGTAAGTATTTTAATCGAAATCTGAAGTGATATCATTGTACTAATTAAATTTGTATACAAATTAATACTTTGTAATAATGACAAATAATTATGTTGCCTGCATAAGTTTTTGCACTAATTAGTCATTTATATCTCAATACTCCTTTACTAAGATTTATTTTTTTATTTTTATTTTTTAAAATTATAAAAACAATATACTTAAAATATATTACATTTTAATGTTCAAAACTCAAATAAAAGTATCAAATATGTGACTGAAGTATTTAAGAAAATGAAAATACTTTTACAAGGTTCAAACACTTGGAGGGTTGTCGCACGCGAATAACTCTTGTAGTATGTATATTGTGCGTGCCTCATGTTTGTTAGCCACCCTTTATCAAATTTTTTTTTTTTTTAACGAAGCTTTGATTTTCTTTTTGACCTTAGTAATAAAAGTTAATATTGATATTTATTTAAATAGTGTTTAAGAATAAAGTATTTAAATTATTATTTATTAATATACATTATCAATAAATACAAATTTCTCTCAAATTTTACATATATTTCCAAAAAAAGTCCATATAGTGCCAAATTTGTTTGATTTTGAAAAGAAGTTTTGTGACAAAAATAGTGTGCAGCCAAACCACAACTATAAATTAGTCTCTAGGATGTCAAACATCTACATACTAATCACAATATTAAATACGGAGTAATTTATTTTAAAATCACAATATTAAATAATTTATTTAAAAACAAGGTTGTTAAATAATTAATTAAGAAAGAAATGACACATTTCGTGAACATTAATGGGGCAGTTGATGTTGGGATTGATGGATTGTTTACTCAAATGCCATGTGATAGAAGGGATACTCAACCTTGTCTCTCTCTTTCCATGAATTCTATTTTCTAAGACATTAAAACTATAAAGCCATTCGAATTGTTTTAAAATTCATTTTAAAATTTTTTTAAAGATTAATTTGGGTAGTTGGGGCTTCGCTCCAACTAATTCCCAAGATTTCAGGAAGTATTAATGCAAACTGACATAGCTTAAAGAAAATTATTTAATTTTTATTTCTATTTTTTTTTTTTTTAAGGCTAGTTGTCACTGTTTTTAAAACTAATTAAGTGGTAGGTTAACATTATTATCAATTAATGCCTTCATATTACTCAAATCGATTTTTTCTTTTTCACAACAAATCAAATTCATTGAAATTAAAAGTTACAAAGCAACTTCTATATGATGTGATCTCCCCAAGGACCATTCACTAGAATCAAAAGGTAACATGTTTCAATATCTTTCGTATTGTGGTAGAGAGGCTGTGATTTCCCCACACCCCTTGAAAGTCTTGTTGAATTAAAATTTATATCCTTAACTAACAATTATTTTATGGTATTAAACTAAAGATGTTCATAAGAATATATATTTAGCTTAGAGTGTGGTGCAACTTTCACTTATGGAAGTAGCCAAAATTAAGGGCTATGCAATCCTCGACTCTTGGATGCTTAGAGACGGGGACTCATATATTGCCTCTTGATTTCGATAAATCTTCTTCTTTAGGAGTCGTGCCATGTTATTTATAGTGGGATAGTTGTCCCTATGTTCTGTTATTCTTATATTTTATATAATTTTTTAATAATTATAAAAAAAATCATAAAAATACAAAAAAAAACATTCAAAATTCAGAAAACCCCTCATTTTTAATTTATTGGCCCAACATAATTTTTCAAATTTGGAAAATTTCTATGCCATTTTCTCTTCTAGCGAGTCCCACAAAAGTTTTAAGAATTAAAATTCAGAAAAGATCTCACTTTCATTTAATTTGCTATTTTTTTTTTACTAAATATTTAATTTGCTATTAATTATTTTGTTTTAAAATTTTTATTATATTATTATTAATCGTTGTTTCTGCAGATAATTCATAAAAATTTAAAGCAAAAGACAGATGATGATAATAATTGTCACATTTGAAGTAAATTTATATCCCCCTAAGATTCATTATTCTTTAAACAACTTATGAAAACTTATATATATTACAATTTTTTTTTTAGCAAATAAAATTATATATATATGATCAGCCTCAAAAGTTGAATGGTGAAGATTTAATTGGTGAACCACACCACGAATTCTTGTTTGCAAGTCACGTGGATAGTTTGATCCCATGTTATGTTCCTCCCACCAACCCAACTATAAAACTACGTATTATTAGTACATGGTTCCACTTCCACTAAATTTACCAATCAAACCATTTACAAACGAATAAGAGTCCCATATTATCGTCGGTGGCGTTAATTTTTTTGCTCCCATTTTAGATTTTACGAGAATAAGTGAAGTGTGATTATTGTTTTTATTATTATTATATTTTTTGCATAGCAAGAATGTCAAGGTTAGTGATTAGAGGGGAAAAGTGGAAGGAGAGAAGAGAGTCCAAAGTTGGAACACAAATTTTGAACACAATGATAAATCCAACGATTCGGACAATTTTCATATTTTTTTAATCTCAATTTTACTTTTTTTATAAAAAAAAATTCCCAATTGATCATAAAATTATATTTTCCTTTTCTAATAAAGATACTTAGGAATGATTAGATGAAGAGACTTGTCATTTTCTACTTCAAAAAAAAAAAAAAAAATAGTATATTGTTTATAATTAAAAGGGGAATAGGAATAAATTGAAGATTATAAATCATTTTAATTTTCATTGTCTCTAAATTGTTAGGTACTATAAAATGTTCTAATTTAAATTTCTGTGTAATTTATTATGCAATATTGGGGGACTTTTTTAGTTATAGACTCCTAAAATATTATTATTGCTTCCTAAAATTACTAAAAAATATCATTTTTGTCTCCCTCACTTAATGGTTAGGGGTTGATTTTTTATTATTATTATTAATATGTCTTACTAAATTGTTCATTTTTAGTTATATACCTGTAAAATATTACTATTGCCTCCTGAAATTACTAAAAAATATTATTCTTGCCCCCTAAGTTACATAAAGAGGGAATGAGAGCGAAAACAAATTCAAAAACGGGAGTGTGAGAGTAACATAATTAAGTTATAATAAGTAGGGAGAATTTGAACGAAAGCGCGTTCAGAACGTGAGAGCGACACCTGTTTAAAAGAATTGTGTAACTAAAAAAGTCCAGAGGGGCAATTGCCCCCCTCATATGTATGTAGGTGAGAGCGGATTTTAAAGGTTTTTTTTTTTTGGTACGTATGTTTATAGTGTGTGTATATATATATGTATATGCACATATGATTATTAAACACCATTATAAGGCCTAAGACAAGGAGGTGAAATCTAAGTTATATAATTCTTCTATATATGTGTCGCTCCCGCTTTTGCGCTCCGCGCGCTCTCACACCTATTGTGGTTCCTTCCCACTTAACTTAAATTTTTGCCTCTTTCACGTTTTTGCTCTCGCACTTGCACTTGCTTTCGCTCTCGCTCTCGCTCCTATTCCTGCTTCTGCTCTTACACTCACTACCGTTACTGCACCCGCTTTATGTGACTTGGGGTGAAATCGAAAGTGACTAGAACATGTGAGATTTGTTAGAAAATGTTTTAAAAAAAAAAAAATTGAACAAGAGAGTTGAATGCGGGCGCGTGCCGAGTGGGGACTCATGCAACCGACACTACGCGAGAACAACGTTAGAATTTAAAATTTGCTGAAATTACCATTCGGCCGTTAGATGCAGGTTTCCCATAACGCACGGCATAAATCAATATTGGGCCTTGTAGCACCCGTTTATAATTTCTACTACTATTATTTCAGAGTTCAAAGCAGCCCAATAGAGTTTCCCAAGGCCCAATGGTATTCTAAGTATATAGGCATGATAAGAAGAGAGATGGTGCCATAACAACCCACTGAATAGTTTTCTCCATTTGTATGATTGTATATTTTCCCCTAGGAAGAGTTGATGGTTTGAGTTGCCGTAGTGAGTGTGTCTTAGCAATAATAATAATAAAAGGAATGATTATAAAAGAAAAAGATTTTAGAGCTGACCGTTTTTACTCTAGGCTTGTTTTTAACAAGAAAAAAAGAAGTGTTTGCCAAATGTATGCAGTTTTACTTATACATGTAGAACAACTTTATTATTGCGCAACACAACCCCCCAAACACCAACTCAAAATGTTCAATTGCATAAGTTCTTAATCATTAATTAATGCTTGTCAACTCAAAATGTTCAATTGCATAAGTTCTTAATCATTAATTAATGCTTGTCAGCTGAATTACCTTCACACCGCTTATTTAGGGTAGTAAAAAAAAAAAAAAAAATTCACACCGCTTATTAGGGTAGTTAAAAAAAAAAAATTCACACCACTTGCGCAAAAATTTAAAGTGTAATTTTCATACCAAGAATAAATTCTCCAGTTTATACAATGGTTAGTTCATCAAAAAAATAATAATAATAATAATTAACAAATGGAAAAAATTGCATGACAATGACAACATTTATATGTTTTTGTGGTACATACAAAATTTATAATGTTTCAAGTGGATATGAACAACTCTAATGACCTACTGTGTTTCCTGTGAAGTCTATAAAGACCTTGTATGTGCTGCAATACAGTAAAAATTGAAATCTTAATAATGAAATAATTTACCTCCTGATCACAAATGGTAGGACTATTATATCCTCATCCTGGTTCACAAATTGTCTTCCACTCCAACTCAACATGTATCATTCCATTCTTTGAATCTATCAAATGGTATTTCTCGTTGATGCGTCCGTCATGTACAACATCAGGAAGACTAATATCCACATGCCCCAATGACTCCTACATTGTTGCGAAATGACGCATTTTTTCAAGTTCTGAACACTGTCAGTCACAACACCCCACTTTCTATTATCAACATAAATGAGGGGAAAAACTTCTTTAAGCTCGGTATACCGTGTAATGGGTATATCTAACCGTTTATTACCACACGTGTAGCACATGCACGGGCGTGATTATTATACAGTTGGTCAGGATGCATCCGTTGCACGATGGAAGTTTTTCTCATAATCAAACACCGAAAGCATGCAGTCTACCATCTCACATGCACCCGGCCAATTATTGAAAAATTTTCTAGAGTAATTCCAAGGACCGGAATTTGAACTCCCGACCTCCCGGAATGGATTAAACTTTCAAAATTTAGGCTGTTTTATAATTTCACTCAATTTCAAAAAGAAAAAAGAAGAAGATATATATTTAAAATATTAGATAATTTCAGTACTTAGGTAGTTAACCAACCAATTTAATTGCAAAAATTAAGTCAACTTTTATGTAGAAGGTTAAATTATGATTGCTGATGATGATCATGACCTATCATTTCTTCTTCGAAACTTTGTAGTTAACCAACCAATTTAATTGCTAAAATTTAGTCAACTCTTATGTAGAAGGTAAAATTATGATTGCTGATGATGATCATGACCTATCATTTCTTCTTCGAAACTTTGTATGCATTTTAGTACTTTGATTTTTTCTCTGTAAATAAGGATAGAAATAAGATGGTGATAAAAAAGGAGACGAAAATAACCTTTGATTGGAGACTAAGGCTGCTTCGCTTGCTCATGACCTGAATATGGATCTTCTCACTTACCAGAGGCTCTTCAAGCATAAACTGAAACTCTTCATTCCAGATTGGATCGCGAGTTTTCTTGATTACCTGAAGAAACCAAGAACAATTACTAAAGTTTAACTTTCAAATGATTAAAAGTAGTTAATCTATGCCTCAAAATTGTCAAGCAGCCTTAGGTTGAGAGAGATATCAGAATAAAACTTGAAGTTGATCACAGCAGCTGAGGTTCTCTAAACCAGTGCTGTGTGTGAAACTTTGACTCAATACAATAGCAAACACACACACACAGGGGAGAGAACAAAATGGGAAGCAAAAGGACTGTACTCAATAAGGAAAAATATACAACATTATACAGTGAACAAGAGCACAACCAATATTTAATCGAGCTGAAGTAAAAGATAGATCACAAGTTTGGACATTTTGTGTAGCATTTAGCATATTTCGGGCTTCACTCTATATTTTCTATCCATTATGATCTTTAGTAAGACTTGTTAGATTGTAACTCTAGGTTCTCTGAGTTTTTGGTGGTAAATATGACATCCTCATGCTCAATTATGCTGATATTTGATTGAATAATATTTGAGTCAATTTAAAAGATTCAATATGAGCATATAAATATAGCTTTTATATTAGCTGAAGACTTTTATTTTTCAGTCCAGATGAAATCTTGCTCGTCTGTGTGTCCATGTCTATGCAATGCAGGTTAAGGGATGGACAATTTGAAAGAGAATTTTTGTCAAGGTAAATCTCACCTTTGATTTCTTCCTTTCTCCTCTAAAAAGTACCAAAGCATACGGATTGTTGTGATGCTTTCCCTCTACATCCTCAGCTCCTTGAACTGTAACCAAAAGTACACCTGCTCCATTGGGGCTCTCATTGCCTAATGCCCTATCATTTATACTTTCATTCCGCCCATCGGCATCCAGAGGTCCACTAGACCCATCACTATCTTCTTTGAAAGGATTATACGTCAGCTCCACCACAACTGTCCCTCTGTTCTTACTGCTTTGAGGATCACTACTGCTTGTGTCCTAGAGCAAATCAAGTGAAAATTCCTTCGTCTCATAGGGCGTTAGCACTTTTAAAGGAACCACTTGCTTTCCCAACCTGTCATGTGCTCCTACCTGTTAACAAGAGCACAGAAAAGAAAAGATGACGATGTGGAGGATGAAGATGCTGATGTCTTTTACAAAAATCAAACCTTTTGGGAAAATCATTGCAGACACTTCAGTGACTCAAATAACCAAGGCATATCCTCTATGACTACTTTTCAAAAATCTTATAACATTTGGAGGTTATATATAGAGTACACGGATGTAAGTTCTTGAAAAAACCTTCTCTTGAACCCTTGGGAGGAACCTATGAGCATTATCCGAAACTACATAAGTGTAACTTACCCAATTGCTAGAGGAGAGCTCTTCACCCCTCCATATTGTGGTGGTGAGACTACATTGCTATTTTCCAGGATACTAGTGTCATCTATGAATCACTTCACCAAAAAATTCATTTTTATCCATTATGATCATTAAGTGAATTAATTGAATTCAGAAGTCCAGTGACCATTCAGAATTATAGCTTATTCATTTTATAAATTTAAAATTATATTTTTTTTCTTTTTTTCTTTCCCCTTCACAGTAAGCTTGAATTTCTCATTCCACACAGGGTTCAGGTTCTTCTTCTTGATGGTAGTTTTCTTTGCCGGCAGAGAATCTCCACTCAGGCTGAGCTTAACGTAAGGATCAGATGTTCCTAGTAAGTCCATCTTCAACAGCTTCCGGGCTCATACAACTTTTACATGCAGTATCCCTACGGTCTTGCTCGTGGCCAATCTATAAAAAAAGAAAAAGAAAAAAGAAAAATGTAGCTATACTATTGTTCTACTTGCAACATATATTAAGAAAATGTTATCTACTTATTATAAAATCAACATATATCATAGAAGAAATTACGTGGAAGCATCAATGACTGGTATTTCAAGAAATTGGGGCCAGAGGTAGAGGTTGGCAACTTCTTTTCTAATAGTCTCCTGAAAGAATCATGAAAAAAAATCAATTGACCATACAGTGATTAACCTCCAATCACACAAGTGAGTTACTAGTGTAGCACCTGAACAAATCGATAAAGGCCGGGTATGGACATTATATCCCCTCCCAGTATTTTCAGACCAAAGTCTACACGAGGCTGCACGAATTTAACAATGATCAACAAAGAGAAACAATAATTAATATCCATTCACCGAACATTAAAAGAGAAAGGAAAAAGGTAGAAATGGTGGCAAATGTTTCTGTGCTTGCCTTCTTCATCAGAGATACCATAATGTTGGCAAAACATGGAAAGGTAGGCACGAGAGGTTTCAAAGTTATCCGTGGTTTCGCAAATACTTGTAAATCCACCAACTGAGAAGAAGCATAATAAATCCTCCAATACATGTTCTCTTTAAAGGAACTAAAAACACATTCTTCTGTAAAGGCATGTGTGCTTAGGTTCTTCTGACCCGAACTGTGATTCGCAGAGACAACAATTTTACCACCACAATTATGTTTGGATTGCCGGCCCATTTTATTGCCGGTTCCAGGAATAGTTCCTTCTCATTGGTTTCATAGATTTTGAGACCTGTCAAGTTGCAGAGTAAAATGAAAACTAAAGCGTATTAAATCAAAATTAATGCATTTTGCTTCCAACACCAGCATTATCGTGTTTGTAAATAATACCAATGTTTTTTCTGTTAATCTTCTGACTCAATTTTTAACCTTATTTTCCATTGCAACAAAAACATTTCAGCAAAGGATCATATTCCAAAATGAGTTTCCAGTGAATGAGTGTAAACTAATTTTATTTTGTAAAATTAATAATCCATATACATCAAAAACATTGTGAACAGTTTAGTACTGAATTGTTATAAATAATTCTAGTTTGCTCGTGGATTTGATTTCAACAAATATTAATATCAAGAATTTGAAGAAGTTATTAGTCAGCTAGCAATTTCAAACAATCCATACACATAGAAACCACCAGTAAAGTGAATTGGTGAAACAAGAGAATTATTAATGGCATCTTCCAAGATAGTGAAATAAATTAACTTGGTTTCTTCTTTATGAACCAAAAACATTAGATGAAGCCAAGAAGAAAACTTTCCTTGAATTGTAGGAGGAAGAGTGCCAAGGCTTAAATTCTCAAACTCAATTGATTCTATATAAAACTTCCCAATGTACTCTCCGCAAACATAGGTTGAACCGCGCATCTTATCATGCTACAAATCGCCTGCACATTTAGAATTTAGCTTGATATTTTTAATCAGAAATTTACAGATTCCTGAGTTATTATATTACCTTGTCAAGGTAAGGCCACATTTCCGAAATAAACTTGTTCAACCAGTCCACCTACACATTCATTTAAATGCAATACTAATCAGAAATTAATTGCATATGAGAAAAAATAGGGAAAAAAATGTCAAAACATCAAAATAATGATAGCAACAATACGGGAGATTGAAAAACAATCTTAATCGATCATAGTTAGGATTCTTCACCCAGATAGGAATCTCAGGCAAAATATCTCGCAAAGCAGTGCCATCTAGTTCACACAGTGGCCTAATAATTGGATCCTGCAGTGTTTAGTTCCATAACAAGATTATTTTCAGGTCCAATGATGCACAATTTCGGATGTTGGGAAAAAATTGTGAATCTAATGGGAAAAATTAGATGCAAACCCAAAGTGCAAGAAATCAACAATTTCAAAGAATATGCAAATTTAGTTAGTAAATAGAAAAATGATAAAATAATCCTCAATTACATTTTTTATTGGCACTTTGCTATTGTGTAAAAGTGTAGAGAAAAGCAAATTTAAAAAAAAAGCATCAAACCACAACCAAGAAGGCCACAACAGTTATGTACCTAAAATCCATTAGATAGGCCGGAAAAACTGCCAACTCTCTCTCACACAATTCAGCCTAAATCCTGAACCCAATGCTACACACTCATTGCTATACTCTAACCACCGAGGGCGCGAGAGTTTCCCAATGAGAGGGCTACTCCCTAGAGGCCTAACACACAGTGGAATTCTAAGGTTTCAAAGAATGGCTACCCCAAACCATTATGGACCGATATAAAAATTTCAAAAAAATTCACATGCAAAATGGCCATTACAGTGTTGTAACAGCCTGCAACAAAGCATAAAGATGTTAATTTTAAAAATCTATTTTCAGTCATTTTCCAATATATATATTTTTATTTTAAAATTAAATGTCAAACTTTATACTTACCCGAACAAAGTTCCAAATTTCTCTTAAAGTTTTTCATTATTCCGGATTGATTTAGGTAAGGTTTCATCAACTACAACCTAGATCTCCAGCCAAAAGTTGAATTATAAAAATATTAATGAATCCAAAATTGAGATCTCTATCAGCACAAGCTTTCATTTTGTGCTCATGTGACAATGATAGCATGATATCATTTGAAGATGCTTGAACTTTGATTTTTAATTTTTAACTAATTCATGATCATAAAAATAGTGAAAGACAAAAATTACAAACAGTTCTCTATAATTAGTATAATACTTATTACGTATGTTAAATCATGCTTATAAATAAAAGTAAATGAAAATTATTAGAAAAACCTAATTTTAGGGTTTAAGAATTGTACTGGCCTGAACAAGAAACACGGCTCCGATATGGTCCATTATGTAATTTCATCCATTATGCCTTGCTTGACAATGTCTCTCTTTACAACAACTTAAGACCACATTTCATACCAAACAAGTATAGAATAAAAAATTCTTACTTCGAAACACCCGAATTAAGACCTAATTTACATTCGTGTCTAGCCTATTATGCAATATTAGCTTACGAACCATAAATCAAGATTCTTTGATTTGCAAAAAGAACATCAAAATCATAATTTTTTTTGCAGTATAAAAGAACTCATAGATGCCCATATATAACAAAATCTTAATATATATATATATATATAAAAGAAAAATGTAGACTGTCACCATCAGAAAAAATACGCAGATCATGTGAAGTAATCTTTAATCAAATTCTGAAAAAAACTTCACAACAAATTACCAAAACAAGAACTATATATGTGTGTGTTATATGTAGTATATCATTTACCTCTACATCTTTGGACATGGAATAGAGGAAGAAGGAAAACCCAATAAAGATTCCAATTGGGATTCCAATTCCGAAACCAATAATTTCCAAGAAACTGCTCAAAATTCCCATTTGCCTTCAACTCCAAAAAAAAAAATGAAAATACTGAAAAAGAAGATGAAAATAACATAAAAATTTGAAAGGGGTGAATGAAAGAATTGAAGATCAATGCAGAATAGAGAAAAAGAAAGTGAATGGAAATGAGGAATTTTTCGGGAAACTGGAAGGCGAGAAAATCCAAGAAATACATTGTACTCACCAAACGTAACGAATAGACTCCCAAATGAAACCGCCAAAAACAGAGACTCGCTAATCGCTTCTTCTTGAAAAATATACATATATATAGCGCTCTCTCTCAAATGGCGATTTCGCCCTTGATTTTAGCCCGTTTAACTGTTTAATGTTCTAACAGTCGGACCGTCGAACTGGGCCGGTTCATATATATGTATGTTGCGTGCGCGCGCGCGTGTATATATATATATATATATATCGCGCGCGCGTGTGTATATATATATATATATACACACACACACACACATATATTGCATGCATATTATTGCTATTCTCCTCTTTTATTTTAAGATGATGATGATTTTAATTACAATTTTTAAAAATTTTTTTTTAATAAATATCCCATAATTCTCTTTTTAGATGTTATCTCAGTAGTTATTCTATAAATTTGACAATTTAATCTTTTTGGAAACAAAATTCTATTATTTGATTTATGTTGTGTTTATCATTTTTCTTAATTTTATTTTGCATAATTATATTTTCTTTGAGTGAAGGTAAAATTAGAAATACTAATGATAAAATTGGAGAAACTAGACTTAAGGTGATAAAGTTATATACAATATATATATATATATATATATATATATATATATATAATGTATTGGTTAGAAGAGATAATTGTTTATTTATATTTTAATTTTTAGTTAACGTGTGGAATCTCTCATAATATTTCATAATTCATCACCGAATAGATGTAGTCCTCTCGTCCCATATATATCATTATTGAATTTTTTTTTTATTTTTTTTTGGAGGTTCCCAAAGGGATTCAAAATCCCAGATGCCACTTAATTACGATATTTTATTTTATATTGAATCAAAGAATGTGAACATAAAAATGGAAGCAGTGATGGGGAAATGTTACAATAGAGTATCTAACTGATGAACCGGTATTAGTTAGGGGTGCAAGTTGGGTAGGCCCAACCCATTCCTGTCCCAACCCAAACTTAACTTGAAGTCAGGTTGGGTTGGGCCAGCCCGATGTCACCCAAGATATGGGCTTTTAAGTAATCCAAACTTAAATTTTTTCAGCCTGGATGGGTTGACCCATTCAACCTTTTTTTTTTTTTTTTTTTTTTTTTCAAATATGTAAATTATATCTCTGTTTGAAAATATCAAAAAAAAAAAATATTTCTCCTAACCCAATAATTTGGGTTTGTACATTTATATATATATATATATAAATATATCACACTTAACTATCAAAAATTTTTTTTATTAAAAAAAGAGAAAAAAGGATTAAAATCACAAAACTCCTATGTACTTTCACAATTGTGGATAAAATTAGCAGTAAAATTTAAAAGTTGCTTGAACTAAATTTTTTTTTTTTTTTATCAAGTTGCCCCGTATCCATGACCGATTCGTTAATTTGATTTTGAAATGATAAAATTTACCTTATTATTTAATTTTAAATTAAAATACTAAAAACTATTATTTTAAAATTATAAAATTAATAAAGGATCATTAAATAATTTAAAATTACAAAATTGTTTAAATTACAAAATTATTATTTAATTTAAATTACAAAATTGACCTTGCTATTTTAAAATTTCAAAAATAAATTTAAGATTTTTAATTTAATATTAACTAATAAAGTCAATTGTGTCATATCAAAACTAAGTTAACAGGCTCACCTATACTTTCAAAGTTGTGCATAAAACCCCTAGTAAAATTTTAAAAACCCTAAACTCAAGCTAACCGGCTGTCCTATAGAGAGAGAAAGCGAGAAATGGTGGGTTATGGTTGATGGTGGTGGTGTGATTTTTCAACAATGATTTGGAAGTCAATTTGCATAATTTGAATGGGTAATTTGGACTCAAATGTATAGATGTTTGTCAAATACAAAATTACTAGTATAAAGTTGTCATATTTTGTAATACAAGGTGACACTTAAATTTGATGAATTTAATCCTTAAATTAAAGAGTTAAAATCATAAAATCTGAATTACTTTCAAATTTTGATTATAAAATCCCAACTTGTTTCAAAAAATTCACACACTTTCAAAAAGTGATTACATTGCCCAAATATCTGTTCGACCCATTAACTGGGTTATGAAATGACAAATTTAACCTTACGTGTTAAATTAAAAACTAATAATTATTTTTTAAAATTATCAAAATACCCTTTAATCTTCTTTTTCAAACTACCCCCCTCTCCCTCTCTCAAACTTTCACCCCTCTAAAACAAACAAAAATTTATTTTTAAAGTTAAAAAAAAAAAAAAAAAAAATACTAGCCTATGATGATGATGATGGCATGTAAGATTGTTGTGGTATCAAGACAAAAACCAACGTAGTTTGCTAAGTTCATCGTATTTTGAATATTATCAGATTTCAATCCCATCCCTAATATGATGAGATTACTTTCAATTGGATACCAATTTCTTCTTGAATTTCTTCGATATCCAGAATTTAAGGATTAAAATTTTTAGATTTCAAGTACTTTTCCAATAAGTCCGTGATGGTGGGTTGTGATGATGGCTATGTCGATCTGTCTGTAATGATACTCCAAATCTTCCTTATAGTTTTTAAAATAATTTTTAGTTTTAATTTAGGGTAAAGTAAATCACCATCCCCTGGGATTTGCAAAAGGACATAAATGTGAAACTTATCTGTTTTTTGGACAAAGACACCCCCTCAAGTTTGATACAGCTACTAAAGACACCCCAGTGGTAATAAATTGACATTTTTACCCTTTAGATTTTATATTGACCAATTTGAATATTGAAATGACCTTTCTAATCTCATACCCATAGCTTCTTTCCTTCTGTTCTCTTACCCATCTCTAACCAAACCCAAACCCTTGCTCTATGTATGCGCGCGCGCGCATGCGCGCACACACACACACATACACACAACGGTGTCGATGACGGAAGCAGTGTTCCATTGGTGTGGCCAAGGAAGTGATTGTTGCTGATGTTGAGGCAGCTGAGGTGGAACAAGATAGGTCCACCTAAGCAAGAATGGTGTTAATTGCTTGGGATCGGAATCGACCGTTGAGACTGAGCCTTGGAGGAACCGCATGCAGGAGGAAACTGGCAATTCTGCCACCGAAAATGGCGGTAGCAGCGATAGAGGCTGCCATTGATTGTGAATCAAGCTGCTACCACCTGGGTTTCTATGGTTTATGTTGGCGTTTCTTAGCAGGGGAGGAGGACGGTTTCCAACGTGCGAGAGAGGCAGAGGGCGTATGCGCTAGAGACGGGAGCTCGGAAGCTTTGGTGGTAGTGTTGAGAACTGCTCATGAGTCGGTGAGCTTCTGATCTGAAGTCACTATTGTTGATATTGTACACCAACGGTTGATGTTGTTGTTGCTGCTGCGGCGGTAGATTCTACGGCTATGATTGTTATAGCGGTGTCGTCGCTGTATATTGCCAGCCACCATAACGTCACTGTCGCCACCATGGTAGACCGTTCTCGATGCTGCGGATCGATTTGTCAGTGAGGACGATCTGCAAATCGCTGCTGGAATCGATGGGGTCGCAGGAATCCCTGAAGCCAATAGTTGTCGATGAGGTGAGTGCAGCGACTCTGACGTTAGTGAATAAGTGATGGTTGTGGTGATGATCTTATTGTGGGTAATGAGTTAATGGTGGTGGTTGTGAGGGTGGAAATAGGGATGGTAGTGGTAGTAGGGGCGAGTGTGTGTGTTGTTGGTTGTGGATTTTGTTGTGGTGGCAGCCCATAATCTAGTTGTAGGGTTATATGATTGATTAGGTGCTGAGGGTAATTTGGTCATTTAAGTATTTTGATATTTATAATTAAAATTAATAAAATAGTGAAGGGTAAAATGGATTTTTTTTCATGTTTTAAGGCTATGTTTGGATGACAAATTTCACAAGGGGGTGTGGTTGTCCAAAAATAGGCAAACTTTCATTTACATGTCCTTACCCCAAACTTCTGGGGTATCTCTGTTAGGGATGGCAACGGGGCGGGTTTGGAGCGGGTTTCCCTAAATCCCGCCCAGCCCCTTTTAATTTTTGTCAAGTCCATACCCGCCCCGAGACCCGCGACGGGTTAGATTTTCATATCCAGCCCCGCCCCGTTGGGAAATACTGTGCCCCGTGCTCGCCCCGCTAACAAATTTTTTTCTCCCACGTTTTGGAACTTAAGCTCGTGCTATTTAAATGTGGAAAGCCTGGGAATGGCACAACATAAATGAAATTGTCTCTTTCTTTCCTAAACGCAATGGACTGGGAAGAAAGGACGGGGGGGTGACCCATTCTAGATCAAGGACAATCAATCTAGTTTTTTTTTCAAGTAGATTCAAAGAAAGGGATCCTCCGTTTAAAGCCTCGATTCGGTTTATAAATTCGTTGCTTAAGTTCTTACTTTTTTCTTCGTTGGTATAAATCCAATTATTGTATAGTTCGTCAGAGGGGGGGTTTTCTATTTCCCAACAAAAATAAAAAAAATAACATGCACATAACATAATTCAAAGAACATAATAAACAAAAATAAAAATTTAATACAACCAAATTACAAAAAGTTGTAAGCTTCAACTTCCACCATAACCAAAACAAAAACAAATTTAATACCAAGTTTACATCTCAAATTAGGATTGTAAGAAATGGGTAACTCAGTAAGCCGCTAAAATAAGTTATTAATATATATATATATATATATATATATATATATATATGCTTAGCAGGGTGGGGCGGGGCGGGGCTCCTAGGATATGTGTACTAAACCCTTACCCGCCTCGTGACCCGCAACGGGTACAAAAATTGTATTCATACCCGCCCCAACGGTATAAAAAGTGTTCCCATATCCGTTATTAATGGGGCGGGACGGGGCGGTAAAAATTGACATCCCTAGTCTCTGTACTTTACCTTTTAATTTAACATTAAATAGTAAAGTTAAATTTGTCATTTCATAATGTGATCACTTTTAAACTGTGTAAAATTTATTTGAAATAGATTGAAATTTTATGATCAAAATTTGAAAGCAGAAGAGTTTTATAATTTTAAACCTTAATTAAATAAAAAAATGTGCCTTATTTACGGGTTCTTCACATTTCCGGAAAGGTGGGGTATTTTTGTCATTTTCTTAATCAATCAAGTCACATGAGTTGCACGGGAGTAGGGATGTAATGTTACAAGAGTACGCGTAGTTACAACCCTATAAATAAAGGTCCTAGGGTTAGGAGCTGGGGAGATAAAATAATTTCTAGATGTATCGTAGCAGCAGTGACTCGAGTGACTCGAGTAGAGATAGATTTTGGCAATCGAGCGGTGTACTTTGACCGATCTCGAAATCGAAGACCAATTACGATGATGAAAGTATCGCCCAGTAGCTATTGTCTAAGTCCACCGACGAGACTCTTGAAAGTCTCCACCGGTGGAGTTGGTCCGGCTATTAATGGAATCAAATCATCCTTGTGGTCAACATCGGTGAGATCAATGTCATCGCGGCCTGGATCCCTTATTGTCGGAGGAGGAGGAGGCGATTTTGGGAAACCTGTTTCGTCAATGATGATGCATCAGGCGGCGGCCGTAGCGGCAGCGGCACTTGACGAAGGAGGAGAGGTAGTCCTGTTGCCAAAAAAAACGGCGCGAGATTCACCATGTCTGCTGGTACCTGCGGGCTTCTTGATTCCTGAGGGAGAAGAAGAAGCGTCCTTTGTTAAGCTTACTACTACTACTACAATGGAGGAGGAGGAGGAAGAAGAAAACAACAGTAGTACTACCAATGATGATGATTACTACGACTTGGTGAGCCTGGTAGGGAATAAATTAGTGTTGAAGAAGAAGATGAAGAAGAATAGGAGTCTTTGGCTTCCATGGCAAAGGGACATTCTCTCACCAAACGATGCCATCTGCTTAGGGTCCTCTCATGGTTGGTTGGCCTTTATTCACCCTCGCAATTGTTCAACCTATCTCTACAATCCTTTACTCAACTCTTTCCCTTACATTGTGTTATTTCATCACTACGACGCCAACGTCGCAGCCGCAGCACAAAATCCACTACCACCACCATGGAATATATGATTACAGAGCACATCTCAGCCGTATCCGCTGAAAAAGTAGGCCAAGATTTCTTTAAAAAGATAGTTTTTTTCCTCACCCCCTCCATATGGGTATTCCAACGACAACCAAGGCAATTGCACGGTGATGGCCATCCAAGGCCTTGGGACCTCCATCCAGGGTTACCATCTTGCTTTCTGCAGGATTGGGGACGCTTCATGGACTGCCCTGGACGGAACACTCTTTCCCTACAGGGATCTTGTCTACTTTAGTGACCACCAACTTTTTTATGCTTTGAGTAGATATGGTTTAGAAGCTTGGGATCTTCGCGATCCTGCCTCTCCAAAGAGTAGTCTCATAATTGAATCCCTACCCAAAAGTAGAGAGAAAATCACTCTTTTTAAGTATGCATATCTAGCCGTGTCTTCAAGTGATTTGTTAATGGTGAACAGGTTCGTGTCTAACGACGAGCCTAGCTACACGGTTTCATTTGATGTGTATAAGCTCGACTTTTTGAGAAAGGAATGGGTATATTTGTCAAGCTTAGGTGACCGTGTATTATTTGTTGGTGAGAATTACCACTCCTCGGAGTCTTTCTCGGCCCATGATTTCCCTGCTGGGACGCTCATCCCCAATTCCATTTACTTCACTCCCGTGGATATCAATGACCACTATGTTGCAGGTAATGAGTTGGGTTTTTTCAACTTGGAAGATAAAATCATCTATTGCTGCCCGTTCTTTAAGAAGAGGAATCAAGAGGTTCAACCGTCTCCTGCTTGGATTGATTGTGCCTCAGCCGTGAAATTAAGCTAAGTTTTGATATCATCTGACCATTGCTTATGGTCTCGAGTAGTGTCTCTTCTCATGTACTATTTATTTTCTCTTTCTTTTTTTAGACGTTATTAATTCTGTGTAGATTCTGTGTAATTTGATGAATGTTATTTTCTTTATTGATGTTACTTTATTTATTATTATATTTTTTAATGGCTAGTAAAAAAGAGTTTCTTTATTCATTCTCTAATATACTGGCCTGCTTTTAGTGATATACTTTTTAAGTGATATTCTGGCAGAATAGATTGAGGGATTTTGCGGATGGAAGGAATTGTATTTTTCTTTCTAGTTTTATTCCGTTTATAATTTAAAAATTGATTGAAAAATTGATTGTTGTCACTAGCTTATAGTATTTTATGAACGGTTGCAGGATGAATCACACAATTATTTTTTTTATTTTTTATTTTTTACTCTCAGCCTTATGCAAAACTCAGGTCTGCACGGGGCTCTTTAGGTTATATGTTTATCATTTTACATTAAAAAGGTTTAGTCAAGGTCCAAAAAGGCCCAATGAGTTTCTTGAGCCCATGATCCAAATGAGGATTCATATCAAATCCTCAACCATTAATTTTATATCATCTGAGCCATTGCTTTACTCATGATAAGAAATACATAACTAACCTAAAACGGCTATCCTCTTCGCTGGCAACCCTCTACGGCACAACTCTCTCTCTCTCGGATCAGGTCCACCGTATGAATCCGCCAGTAGCCCTCCATGCCATAATTCTCTCTCTCATGGATCTAGAAATATGTACTGGCCCTCCATACCATAATTCTCTCTCTCTAATGGATCTAGAAATATCTATAGTCCACAAAACTAGGTATTTCATCTTGAATTTTTGTTCTTTATTGAGTCCATAAAAGCTTGTAAGGTTTGAGATCCGCGTTCATGGATTTTTGAATAGGTGATCATCAAAGTCCGAGACAAACTTAAATAACAATTCCTAAAAAAGTGGTAGCTGAGCCCGAGCTTGCCAAAACTTTAACGAGGAGCTTGGCCAAGCTCGTTCGAGGCCCTCTGGAGATGACGAGCCGAGCTCAAGCAACCCAAAGCTCGGCTAGATTCATCTGTACCCCTAGCAGAACTCTCCCCTTTCTTTTTCTTAATTTTTTTATTTATTTTGGTTTTGATTTTATTGTAGTGCACTCCACTTTTGTCCAAGTGCACTTCATTTATCATTTTACCAAAAAGTCTTTTAATCCACTTTTTCCCTTTATTTTTGTTTTTTCTGGATGTCCTTTCAAAGAAAATAATTTTTTCTATACTAATAAATTTTGTTTTATTATTTTATTTTTTATTTTTGTACAATTGAAAGTGATATTTATTAAAAAAAAATTGACTTTTTTTTCAAAAGAAGAAACTTATATTTTTTGGTAATTTTATTTGGGTCCCGTCAAAAGAAGTAATTTATTTGATAAAAATAAATTTTTGTTTTTCGGTCTTATCAGAAGAGATAATTTATTCAATAAAGATATATATATATTTTTTTAATCATCTTCCTTTTGTATTTATTATTATTATTATTATTGTTATTATTTTGGGATCTTGAGAATGGAGAGAATTTATTCAACAAATATATTTTTTTGGGGTTTTTTTTTTTCTTCATGTCAAAAAAAGATAATTTTTTTAAATGGTTACATTTTAATTTTTATCCGGCCAAAATAGGCAATTTATTCAAAAGAGGTAATTTATTTAACATAACAAAAAAAAAAAAAAAATTTGGTCCCTTAAAAAAAATTTTATTTTATTTTATTTTTATTGTCAAAAATACTTAAAATATTAAAGATTAGAGATAAGGAAATAAAATATAAAAGGGCAATTGTGTCGTTTAAAAAGTAATAATTATTTACTTGTAAAGTTAAGGTTATAATTGTCATTTCATTCAAGATTGTAGTGCAAAGATTGAAATGTAGAGTGTGGATTATATGGGCTAAAAACATAAAACACCCCTCTACTATTCAAAAAATCACACAACCCCTATATTAACAAATAACCCTTGAACTATCCAAAAATATCATTTTGCACCAATTCCGTGGCAGAGCTGTTAAATGAAATGTAAAATGACAAAATTGACCTCCATAATTTAATATTAATTTAAAACCTGAATGAATTATTTTGAAATGACAATTATGCCCTTTGTGGGGTCCAATACCACCATTAGTTGCACACTCTTGATCCCACCATTCCTGTATATATGTATGTGTGTGTGTATATATATATATATAATTGAAACAATAAGATTCACAAAAGATGGAATAAATGAAGGGAATTAATTCAACAGTATCCATATAATTTTATTAGCCTGAGACACCAACACTGAGACATCATCCCAGAAGAATCCATTGTTATGAGTTTTGTCTTTTTATAAGCCTTAATAATTGAGTAATTTAATTGACCCAATTTGTTGGAGGTTCTGGCTTGGGTTTGCCTATCCATTTCTTTGCCAAAATTTCCCGATTTGGAGGTCAAAATTTAATATGTTATAAACTTTATAAATATGTGAGACAATAATTCTTCTCATTTCAACATTTTTTTTTTTTTTTTGGCTTCCCCTGCTTTGTGTTACACTATTACTTGAAGGAAATTCTTGCCAGGGCACCTCGTTTTGTTTTCCTGTGGCTGGGTTAGTGTTGAAAGGCTTTGATCCTAAGAACTGTCTAGAATTCCCTCTATTATGGATTCTTTTGGATCAATTGTAGTCTTGAATTCCTCACCAACTAAACTTCTATATTCTCTTAATAAAATTCTCAATCCAACATAAGAAAGTAATTTTGTTAATCAGTATGATTAAATAAGTCCGTCATCTGTGTTCGTCATATTTTTCAAGTCACATTCTTAATAAGTGCTCCTCAATTATAGATCACTTCTAGTAACCAATTCATCCTTACACCTTTTATCCACCATTACCAATCAAAGCCTTTCAGAAAGGTGGATAAAGAAAGTTAGGGTTAGGGTTCAGAATGATAGAGAGAGAAAGTTATAGTTAGGGTTTAGATAGAGACACTTACTTGGGTGGCTTGGTGTTAGCCCCTTGACGGTTGTCCAAGGGAAGACATGGGCATTTCAAGGCCATGCCATGTCTTGGGAATACTTTGGCTTTGGTTAGACAGCCATGAGGATGCTCAGTGGGTTGTCAGCGTGCACACAAGATGCTTAAAAGGATGCTCGGCGTGCCCTGGGAGTGCCCAGTGGCACTTTCGTAAATATGGCGAAAAGTGAAAATTGGAGTTTTGACTCGGGATCTTTATGGGAGGTACCTTGAGTCCATAGAAGCTGGTTGGCGTAGACGACACTCAATTTGGATGTCGGGAAAGGCCTGAAAGGCCATTATGACTCCTCAAGCATGGGTAATGTTTACTCCTGTCAGAGTGCTGGATTTCCTTAAGGCTATACTAGGGAGGGGTCTGTTGAGCACATCGGTTGGGCTATGGTATGGCTTGCTTAGAGGGCTTAGCCAACGTGCATGGGCATGTGTTGCACCACTCCAAGATAGTTGCACAAGTGGGGAGCATCCAAGATATTGAAGGGCAAACAAGTGGGCACCGACACGCGCGCTGGTGTGCAGCGACGCGCTTGCGGGCGTGTAGGTGGGCGCTCGGGCAGGCGTCCAACCTAGTGTGCACGAGCGTCTAGCTCGGCGTACGCACGGGCGTCCAGGCGGGTGTACAGCCACGGGCGCATGAGGGTTCAAACATGGCGCGCGTAGAAGGGCACTTTGGTGTGCACCCTAGCGTGCGCACAGGCGTGCATGGCTTGGCACGTCGTGCACTCAGAGACATATATATATGTGGGTGCAGATTGGTGGACTTGGCTTGGGCTAGGTTCACAAGGTTGACTCAGATGTGGCTAGAGCATAGACAACACAAAGTCATGGCTTGCGGTTACAAGAGGTGGTGGTTTAGTGGGCTCGGTCGGTTAGGGGAAGTTACTAGCACTTCCCACTCATCATGGGAAGTGGAGGAGTGCTGAGTAACCTCCCAAGCATGTGGCACAATTCTGAGAGGACCAACACATAGGCGGTTAAGGATGGTTTCTTCCACTATGCAGAATGTAACTTCTTGTGGTTATGTGGCATGAGCAAAACATGCCAAAAAGTCTAGCAGTTGGGCTTGTCAACTGCATTATAGTGCTGGCACATCTAGAGGGTGCCAGCACGACCCTACGTGGATGGGGGTGTTATTTATCATCTTAGTGGGCAGTTATGGGCGGTTTTGAGAGTGGCCTATATAATGCTAAGGTGGGCTTTGTAGAGGGAACAGAGAGGAGGGTGTGAACCTTGGTTCCTTGTACGAACTCATGTTCCTTTGTAATTTGTTTAATATGAGCAAAGGTTGGGGCTTGTCCCTGTAAATTGTGTGTGCCTTCTTTACATTTCTATACTGTGTGTATTGTGTTGTTGTGTTGGCTGAGACTTGGTGGCCCCAAGTGCCATTACAGAGGCAAAAATTCGTGGTGTAATTGAGCCCTGTAACAATTGGTATCAGAGCCCCGTTCTACGATGGCTGGAGGTAATACTTGTGAGAGAGTTTCCCGTTTGGAAGAGTTTGTGGGTTTTCCTACAGAAACAGAGGTACAAGATGGTGTAGAGAGCCTTGTTGTTCGAATTGAAAAATTGGCTTCTGAAGTGGAGATCTTGAAGACTGATCCTGATGGGTTTTGTGACTTCATGCAGGCCACCAAAGAGTAATTGACCCGTATCTTTGAAGATGTTGAGTCGCTGACTGATGTCTTCAAGAAGAACCTGAAAGACCTTGAAGATGAAGTGTCCTTGGTGAAGAGGGCCATTCATGGGAGTTCCAGAGACGGTGGTGATCCTCTTTCACAGAAGATCAAGGTGCCGGATCCCAAGTCTTTCAGTGGTACCCGAAATGCCAAAGAGTTGGAGAATTTCCTATGGGAGATGGAGCAGTACTTTAAGGTTGCTCGAATCCCCGATGGCGAGAAGGTGACCATTATAAGCATGTATTTGTCTGGTGATACA